AAACAGAGGTCTCAGTCCGTCAGCTGCCGTGCACTTGGGGTTAATTAAGGGTCGCTGCCAGCACTGTTCACTCTGTGACCTTTACTCCAGGCCTGCCCTGGACGGTGGACGGTGGACGGTGGACGGTGGACGGTGGACGGTGGAGAGGCTGCTCCTGCAGCTGGAGAAAGCTGCCAGGGCCTGTGCTGGGCACCTTCAGCCTCTGCTGCCTTCTCACTTCTAACTTGGGTGGTCCTTGGATGTGTAACAGGTGGTGTGTGTTTATTTGATAGAGCAAGTGGGACATTAATGAGGGTAGTCCACCCTAACCAGTTCTAAAAAGTCTAAATAAACTGCACAAATGTGTCGTCAATCTGGCCTGGTGAATCCTCAGTGGCTTCTTTCGGGTTTGGCCTCTTTGCTGCTCTCCCTGTGCACCCACTGGGAGCTCACTTACTCTTCCTCCCCATCTTGGGAACAGCGGTTAGTGGGCCCCTCTTGTCCTCGCTCTGGGGACCATCAGAAAGAGACAAGGAAGAAGGACTTTGTCCTCAAACAGCATAGGAGCTAACTGAGAGAAGAGATAGACAGAGGAAATAGGATACCAAGAGACGAAATGAGAAAATAAGTCCCAGTAGTTTTTTAAAGTGAATGAGTTTTCTGGTCAGGTCCTCACTGTCCCCAAGACCGTTCCAAGAGGAGTCTTCCTGCAGGAGCTGTTGGACTCAGCTCCCTCTGGAGCCAGCTCTTGGGCAGAGGTTCCTTGGGACGGTGTGGAGCTTGTCCTGATGTCTGACCTCCGTCCTTTCACCTCCTGCTGAGACCTGGGCTGTACTCAACACCGGCAGTGGTCGCTGGTTGGCTGAGAGCCTGCAGTGAACCCACGTGACTGTATGTGCTCCTCACAAGGGCCCCGTGAGCATGGCCAAGCACCCCCTCCCTAGATGGGGGAGAAGGAGCTGCCCAGACCCCTGAGTGGTGGAGGGGCACTGGCCCCCGTGTGCCTGACACGGCTCGGCAGCGTACAGAGCCCCGCTGATGTGACGGCAGTGTTCTCGCTGTGGGAGAAAAAACCCGACCGCCTTTGAAATGTGTTCACACATGGCGTGTGTGTAGTGGTCATTCTTATTCCGTGATTATTTTGTACAATCTTGTTATGCAAGTTTGGGTAGGACTGCTGGGAATGGAGAATACTGCCAAAGAAGAAAGGTTTTGTTTGGGGGCGGGTGGGGGGAGCAGTAGAATTTTCATACATCTTTTTTCTTGTCTTCGACAACAGATTGTTTAAAATCTTTTGCCCTCTTAATATTTTATGTGTGATCAGTAGCAGTGCAATGCTAACTTGTTGTCATAAATGTATCAACGCGTTCCTTTTTCTCAGAACATGCATTTCTGCTACTTAGTCTCCACTCAGTGGAAGTCTATCCCCGAGTCTCCCTCATTTATTCAACAACTGTTTACTGAGCACCTACTAAGCCCTGGGCACTGTCCATGGTACTAGAGAGGAACTGACGAGCCCCACACAGTCCTCACTCTCACGGAGGGTGGCCAGTGCTGGGGACGTAACGTGGAGAAGGCAGCTGGATTCTGGAATGAAAATGATGCAGCGGAGGCTGGGGATGGAGAAGTCTCAGGAGCCACGTGTACGGTGTTTCCAAGGCACGGCTAGAGGAGGGACATCTCGGCCACAGAGACTGAGAAGAGAGGGCCATGCGGGGTCACCAGGAAGGTGCTGCTTTTGAAGCTTCAAGGAGGGGCTGGCCGGTAGTGGTCGGTAGTGGCCAGCGGTGCTAGAAGGCCGGAGGGGGTGATGGCAGGGTTAGCGCACAGAGGTCGCTGGTGACCTTGGCTGGCACTGGATTGTGAGGCCGCAGCTCCATCAGCAGGTTGTGGAGAGAAGAGAACTGAGAGGGGGGAGGCCCTGCTGATGCTGGGCCGGGAGAGGGGAAAGGCAGGGGCGGGAGGCGGTGGGTTTGCCACTTTGGAAGAAGGACACCAAAAACGGGCTCGGTCAACTCCTGCACTTAGTTCTGAACCCGCCTGCGGCATCTTGCCACTTGGATCTCAGGCAGATTTAGGGAGAGGCCTGGGGACACTTCAGTTCTTCCCTGCTGGCTGCGCCTCCCCCTCATCTCTGCTGCGTCCCTTTTCAAAAGTTTAATTTTGAAGTCTTTTTCCCTGTCACTCAACACACTTTAAAAAAAATAATGCATTTCTGCATACCTCCTTGCGGAGCATGGATAATATCTTTCTTGGGTACTCCTGAGTCATTTTTAGTGGTGCTTTGGGAGCACAAAACATTCCAGGAATTGGAGGCTCTGTGTGTGCATTCAGTGTCCCTTACAGGCTGACTGACGTGTATTTTGGGGTGAGATTGTCATGTGCGTGCCGCTGAACCCGGTGGCAGGATGTGGTTTTAGAAATTCCCGGGATGATAGAAGCAGCTGGCCTGTGGACTAGGGTCAGGTGTCCAGGAGAAGCCTGCACCCTGAGCCTCTGCGTTTCGGTCATTTTACAGTGGATTGTGCAGTGTTATAGGGCAAGTGGCATTGTTATTATTTTTTGCTTTGCAGTTGAGATTACTTGCAATGAGGTAGTCACAGCCCTGGGGAGAAACCCACCTGAGAAGTGTTTGTTGGCAGCGTCATGAAGCCGAAAAAGGTGTTGGCTGGTTTGCTGCTCAGAAACATGCCTTGCAGCCCAAGCCGGAGTGTTTACTGCTCCCTGGATGTCCATCCCTTGCAGGGCTTTGTGACTGCCTCATTTATCAGGGCTATCTGTCTCCTCAAATCATAGGCTCTAGGAAGGAGCAAGGTGGTGACCCGCTTTGCCCAGCCGTGACTCTGAACTGAGTTTTCTTGAAGGCTGGCCTCAGCCGAACTAGCTGGGAAGTTCATACAGAACGTCTGGGCAGTTAGCTGTCTCTGTGAAATAGGGCAGCCTGTGTTCGGGGTAGCTTTCTCTGCATTTGTGTGCCCTGCCTCTGTCAGGAGGGGCCGGCGAGCACCGTGGCAGGATCTCGAGGTCAAGGGTGTGGAAGAGGACTCGGTTCTGATTGGATGCAGAGGCTGTGGATAGAAGTCCACACTCTGGAAAGAAGAGCGAAATATCTGCCAAGACAGTTCCCCATCACTGGAGCCATTATGCCAAGAACAATAGTCTTGTGTATGCCGACCACACCCAGTTTCACAGGAGCTGGGAGAGGGGGATGCGAATGCCAGCCTGGGAACCGGGCTGCCGGGCAAGCCGGTCTTGGCACAGCGTCCTGCTGACCGTTGGCCGTGTGGCGGCCAGCGAGACCCAGGAAACCATTGTACCACTGGGATGCTTTCCTCGTGGACCACGAGTGTGGAGAGGTGTGGGTTCGGGAACCTGTGTTCTCTGATCTGTGACTTCCAGTGACTGAGAAAGGTTTCGGGAGGTTCGGTGTGTCTCGGCTGACAGCTGCACTCTCTTCTCTGAAAAGCCTGGAATTCTCCCATCTACCTCAGGAAGGAATTTTTTAAAATTAATAATTAATTAATATTTTAGAGAGTCAGGGAGAGGAGAAAAAGATGGAGAGAAACATGGATCTGTTGTCTTCCACCTGCACCCCAGTCGGGGACCAAACCTGCAGCCCAGGCATGGGCCCTGACCTGGAATCCAACCGGCGGCCTTTAGCTCTGCAGGACAGCACTTGACCCCACCGCCCCACCCACCCCCAGCCACACCAGTCAGGGCTCCGGAGGGAATTCTGCCGGAGGGCCCTGTGAGTCACATCTGCTAGCTTGTGCCCACTTGGACCAGACGTCTGCTGCTAGGACAGTGGCCTTGGTGCTTGACAGGTTGCACGGGGAACTTTGTGCAGACGATGGAGAAGGTCGGGGCACTTGCTATTTTCACACGGACCCTGTCAGATTCTGCAGATTATAAGGAGAAATGTATAGGGTCCGGCAGGAGTAAGTCCTGCTTGAGTGTGGCTGGTAGGGTAATATTATGGGTGTAATAACTTATAGTTTCAATTTAAGCATTTCACCTCAAATATCACATGGTGTGTGCTTCAGTGTGATATTGTTATGCTACAGAATTGCATGCATTTGATTTTGTAATAAAAATGGGCATAATTTGTGCTGGACGCTGTATATTCTGTCTTCAGCCCAGTTGCTGGCTGAGGTCCAGAAGCTCTTGGACTTCCCCAGTGATTACAGTGACAAAGGACTCTTGTTACTCAGAACAAGGCCCTTTCAGCCACACCCTGGGTACATCGACGAGCTGGTCTTGGAACCCTACCCTGGTATTAGAGGGCAGGCACTTTCAGCCTGGCCTCCCTGGGGGAGAGAGGGGCTGGGAAATCAATCAGCAATAGACAAAGATCCAATCAATTATGCCCAGGGACGATGTCTCCACAAAAATCCTAAATGACCAGACTGAAACAGAATGGGACGTAGGAAAGGATGGGAACTGCCCAACAGGAGGGACTGATGGGGAAGGGACCTAAAGGGACCTTTTGGAAAGAATGGCTTGGTTTGGGTGCACAGCACGTCTAAACTCCCCAGTGGAAGATCTGAGATCTTGCATTTTTATTGCTGGTAAATTGTACCTCATTGAAACTGAAGGCTGACACGTGTGACAGGTGTCCCCAGGTGCTGTGCAGCCACAGTGAGGGAGGCCCTCTCGGATCAGGGTTTCCAAGTGAAAAGGCAGGAGTTAGGGACCCCAGGCAGGTGACAGGCCTGGGCCACAGCCAGGGCAGGAGAGGGCCCTGCCCGGCTTGCAGCCGCGGCTTTAAAAGGAAACCTCGGTCACTTCACGGAGTTTGTTTTCTGGAAGGCTTGCCGTGTATCAGGGGTGACACGGTGTCCCCTCCCCGCTGCAAGCTCTGTGCTCAGATGTCGATTTTGTAACAGCTTTTTAAAATTTTTCTAATTGATGTTTTTCTAAGTAATAAGTTCTTGGGACTTAGTTTTTAAAAGAATTATTCAAGAGTATGGCCTTATTTGAGTAACCCGATGGTTTCTCTCTTTTCCCCTTAAAAATAAAAGCTGCAGATTCTCGTTGACACTGGGAGCAGCAACTTCGCCGTGGCTGGCGCCCCGCATTCTTACATAGACTCCTACTTTGACACAGAGCGGTGAGTGATGGGTCTGTGGTGGGCGGGGCCCGGTTTGGGGGCACCACACCAGTGCTTCCAAGTACCCAGAGCAAAACAACCAAAAGCCTGTTTCATTTTAAGGAAGCTGTGTGTATGCGTATACGTTTGTGAGTGTGTGTGTAGTATGTGTGTACATGTTTGTGATGTGTGTAGTGTATATAGTTGTTTGCATGTGTGTACATGTATACTATGTGTTTAGTTGTGTGTTCATTGGTGTGTGTAGTGTATGTGTATATGCATGTGTGTGGCTGTGTGTGTAGTGTGTGGCATGTGCATGTATATTTTGTGTGTATGTCATGTGTGGTTGTGTGTATAATGTGTATGTGTATATGTATACACACGTTTGTGATGTGTGTGCACATGTGTGTGCACGTGTGTGTGCATGTTCAATCCAGGGGAATTCATAGGGTATTCTGATAGTCTCTGTACATCTCACCAGGTTTGCTCCAGGAAAATGCAAGTCAGACCCCTGAGCTGCAGGGCACACGTGACCCTTTGATGCTTAGCGGCCGCTCTGGTCCTAAAGTGGAGGAAGCTCTGGCAGGGACAGGGACACTGGGCGAGTTTCCGGCAGGGCGAGTATGAGGCTGTCTGCCCTGGGGCCTCAGTTGATTGGAAAGTCACCTTTGCGTTGCCAGTAGTTCCTACAAGGAGTTTCTTCACGAAGTCCTGAAACGAGGGGCAAGCGTAATGTAACTTAACCTATGTATGTAATTATGATCGCCCTGATGTAATATAGGGCAGAGTAAAGGGGGTCATTTATAGAGAAGGGATCCATACCTCAATACCGAACACTCTGGTTCGACTGCAGTAAGAGACACGTGACGTAGGGGGCGCTGTGAACTCCTCCCCGGGCAGAAAGTGCCCAGGCAGACTGATACAAAGTAGACTGAGATAGACTCAGGCGCCCAGAACAATGGGTTCATGACGTGATTTTCTAGATCAGCAAAGAACCTTGGTGAAACTGCATTGTCAGTTTCATCCCACTGGCACCCTGCCATCCAAACCGCAGCAGGACTTGCTCCTCTGCAGGTATTACTGAGATTGTCTTTGTGCCCGTGGAACATTGCTCTCACTTGGCCTCCGTCCCTGATACTGCCTTTCCTGTGAAGAGAACCATTCTTCAGCAGGACTGCAGGCTTCCTTCTCAGCTGAGCCAGCTTGGGGTGGCACATCTCTGAACTGCAGGCAAGTTCTGTGCCGCCAGCTGCATCCCTGCCCCCACGCTGGGATTCACATTACCTTCTCTCCTCTCCTGTCCTCTGGTTTTCCTCGCTTTCTCAGACTTACGTTAACACAACTCTGTTATTGCAAAGCTATGGACGCAATTCATCCTCTGTGTAAATTACCTATGATTCATTTGCCTGATGCATTCAGATAACTGTGGAGCCAGCCTACAGTACACTTTCCACCGTGGCACATGATGGAAGCCAAAAGAACATTCTCTCTGCTTTTCTCAGTTTTCACAAAGGTTTCTGTTCCGAGAGGCAGCTCTGAGCTGTGATGTTCCTGTGTTTGCTTGTCTCTCTGATCTCCCTTAGTTATAATAAGGGCTCTGGTTGGGTTTTTTCAGCCTCTGATTCAAGTCCCGCAGACCTGAGGGTTAGAGTTGAGGGCTCCCTGCAACATGTCCCCAGTAATTGGAGACCTGGCCTGGGGTTCTTTGACAAGATCTCTTTGGTTGATGGAATGAGATGTCGGGCTACCATTAGTCACTCTGGTGCCTGTTGCCGTCAGAAGCCCGCTTTTCATGGTGGTGAGTGTTCGGCGAATTACCACGTAGCAAAAAGAAAACAGTGTGTTTTGAAAGGTGTGCTTCTTTTTTAGACAGTGAAGCAGCCTCCAGGTAGTTGGCTTGATCAGAGTCAGTATACTCATCCCTCTGACCTACTAATCTATTCAGGAAATTAAGTATATTTCTATTAAAATTTCCCCTCCTGTATCCACCTGAGGTGAAGCCCACAGAGCATCCGGGGCGAGGGAGCAGTTCCTTTTCCTCCACTGCTGCCTGTGAGTGGAATTAGAATATTCGAGAAGTACCCGGTGACCTCCTTAGAGAGGCTGACCTGGGCCTCACCGTCCAGGTGACAGTGAGCCGTTCCTGCCTGATCCTTCAGCGATCTGCCCGAGCAGGCCGGTGTTGTGTGTCTAGGAGGGGGCTCACCACGGGGGACCCCAGCAGCCTGTGCTGTGGTGGAGAATGTTGAGGAACCACCAGGTTGGGCAGGTTAACTGAGAGCCCCTGGGCCATCGCGGCCCACCGTTCCGGTCACTTCCAGAACCGTGGAAGAGTCCGAGGGGCATCTGGTCCCCAGATCAGGCCACCACCCCAATGGTAACCCTTTGAAATGTGCAGAAGCACCCCAGGAAAGTGTCAGTAGAGCCCTTCAGGGCCTCCCCTGGGTTGTGGGGGGTGACTTAGGACAAGCAGAGGTGACCCGAAGGCTCAGCTCTCTCGTGCCCCGCCCTTGCGCCTTCTCCTTAATGAAAATGGAATGTGCTGGGCTCCTCTCTCCTCAGTTCAGCTGATTCCACTTCCCAACCCCGCATTCCCTGGACTGTCTCAGGAGAGGGAGAACGTCTCCTGAATATGCTCCAAAGTGATTTCACTGCTGGGAGTGGACTTTTTCCTGGCTCCTCACATCCTTGATTGATTGCTGTTTCTAAGCACACAGAACGGATGCTGCAAAGGAGAAGCCAACCTTGGCTCTCTCTTCATTTGGTTAATTAACGTGCAGGGTGATCGAGAGCCAAGGCCTTGCAGTGCCAAGAGTAGTGGGTTAGAACATGAAGGGGGAGGAACACACTTGTTTTTTAGCCTAGCGCTGGAGACTGTGTGTTAATGAACCTGAGAGCTGCTTGCAGTTCATCCCTGGGGCCTCTGCTCTTTGAGGTGTACTTTGAGGACCCCAGGGAGTATGAATTTAGGATTACTTTTCTCCCATTATCTAGGTCTGTGCTTTCCTCAAGGGTAGGCATTAGCCACATGTGGCTATTTAATTTAATGTTAAGTAAATGTTCTGTGTTTTAGTCACACTGTCGTCACATGTTAAGTGCTCAGTAGCCACCAGTGACTGCCGTATTGGACGCCATCAGTATAGTCTGTTCCTTGCAGCAGTGTCTCTTGGGCCGTGCTGGTCTGGAGCAACCACAACTCTCCCTTTTAAAAACCTGCAAGGGGCCCTGGCTGGTGTGGCTCAGGAGGTTGGAGCAGCATCCTGTAACCTGGAAGATCGCAGGTTTGATTCCCGGCCAGGGCACATGCCTAGTTTGTGGGTTCGGTCCCCAGTCAGGGCACATGTGAGAGGCAACTGATTAATGTTCCTCTCCCTCTCTCTTCCTCCCTTTCTCTCTAAAATCAATAAGCATGTTCTCCAATGAGGATAAAAAAAGAAAATGAAAGAAAGAAACCTGCAAAGCCCGTCTGCCTCCCCTACCTCCCTGCCACCTTAACCGAGTCTCCTCCCCACGCTTGTCTCTGTCCATGGGGACAATTAGAGTTCGGAATGAGACCGTTTTGATACTCAGTAAGAGGAACACTAGAGAAGTGTTTTCTAGGGAAAAAACTTACATTTTTTTAGTAGTTCAGGAATTGAATAAGGGTAGTAAGTGATCAGGTCATTGCGTTAACAGCAGCTGTTTTTGTTGTGTGCCTGTCTGCTGTGTTGCAGGGCTTTGTTCTGAGGGCTTTGCGATAGTAACTCTTTTAATCCTCAGAATTAACCCCACCAGGTGTGGTGCTCCATTAGCCCCCATTTTTCAGTTGAGGAAACTGAGGCACGGAGAGGTTAAATAACTTGGCCCGCAGTCACGGAGCTGGTAGGTGGTTGAACTGGTAGCTGGACCTGAGCAACGTCACTCCAGCTGCCCCTCATCTCTCTGCAAATGGCAACCAACTATCCAGAACATTCCCCCTGAGAGTGGAATAGCATCCTGGTCAGACACTGCAGAAGACATGCTCCGTAGGTGTTCAATCTCTTATCGTTAACACTAGCAGCTTCTAATGTGTTTGGTAGCCCGGATATGCTAACAATAAAACAACTTCTCAAAAGAAAGTCATGGTGCTTTCTGCTGTTTGGGGGGGATAACTAGTCTTCAAGATAAAGAGTTGGCAAACGAGGGCCCACAGGCTACATCAGACCTGCTGTCTATTTTGTAAATAAAGTTTTATTGGAACACAGCCGGGCACATTTGCTTATGTATTGTCAGAAGCTGCTTGCTCATTGTCCTTGCAGAGCTGAGAGTGGTAACATTTGTAACAGAAGTCATGTGACCCACAAAAGCTGGAACATTTATTTTCTGGCTCTTTACAGAAAAAGGGCGTGGACCCTGTGCTAGATCGCATTCTCTAAGCATTTCAAAATAACTAGCATCTTTTGCTAACAAGAGTGTATTTTTGAATTCCAGCAATGACCCCAAATTGTCAAAAGGGAATGAATCATTTTCTGTGTTAATATTGGGCATAAACGAGTGCAGCCCTGGCTGTCTGCCAAGCACACCAGAACCAGCACTAAACCGATCAACCCCTCGGGGCCCGCCTGTCCGTGAGCAGACTCTGCACATTACCTGTGTCACTTCCGGAGGGTCCCAGCGCCCGCCCACCCTCACCTTTCCGTGTGTGCCGGCCCTCGTCTGGAGATGCGCCCCCAAAACGTTCACTCCATGCTGCTCTCACTGTAAGGTGTGTGAGCCACCACGGCAAATGTTAAAGCTACACATTCTTCACATTTCATATTTCAGTGTGAAGTCAGAATGAATAAAAGTTCTCCAAAGTTTGTCTGCCGGACATTTTAAAAATAATTTCCCCCCTAATTAAAAAAGTCGTATGTGCAGAAAATGCGGAAGGGCCCAGCCACAAGAGGGAGCGTGTCCCCCCAGAAAGCTCACCGTGCAGCGCAGGGGTGGCCCCTGTTGATATCTGAGTATAATTAATGGTCTCAAAGAAGATTCCACCACATATATAATTTGTTACGTTAAGTTTTTTACATCATTGAAAATCTCTTAGTAGATACTGTTTTTTAGAGCTGTGTCATAGTTAATCATATGACATACGATGATTTACTAAACCATTTCCTTTTCACTGGGCATTGAGGTGGTTTCTAACTATTTGCCATGATCAATAAAACATAACGTCTGTCTTTGTACATAAACCTCTGTCTGCTTCCTGGGCGTTTGCTAAAGATCAGATTCTCAGAAGTGCCGTTTACTGAATTAAAGACCTTCATTTCTTTTTAAAGATTTTATTTATTTTTAGAAAGGGGGGAGGGAAGGAGAAAGACAGGGAAGAAACACTGACATGGAAGAGAGACATCTATCGGTTGCCTCTCGCACACCCTCAACCGGGGACCTGACCCACAACCCCACAGATCCCTGTGCCCATGTGCCCTGACTGGGAATCGAACTGGCAACCTTTTGATTCACAAGCCAGTACTCTGTCCACTGAGCCACACCAGTCAGGGCTAAGCAGCATCATTTTACAACTTCTCAGCTGTACCAAAAAAAGAGGTTCTTGTTGTCTCTGACTAAATTTCCAAAGAAGCTGCACTTGTTCATGGAACTAAAGGCCTTGTTAACATCACTGTTTAGAGACTCACTATTAAAACAGAGTGACGTGAAAAATGCAAGCCAACAAGAACACTAGAACGGCCCGTCTGGTGATTTGCCCTTTCTCTTAGGAATCTGATCGTTCTCTTTGCAGGCATGTGCTGCGGTGCCCAGGTTTCTGCCCAGGGACCTTCCTTGGGCTCCTGACTATGCACAGCCAACCTGCCCTCCCCACCCGCTCTGCTCCCAGGACGGCTCTCCTCGCTGTCCGGAATCTCACGTGTCCACTCGCCCGCCGCCTGCCTCTGTTTCCCTGGCCCTGTCTGTCCTCTTCTCTTGCTCCCTTATTGTGTTGCAGGAGCTCCCACCCTGAGGGCTCCCTGCACATGGGGCTGTAGAGGGTGTCACGGTGATTTGTGTCAAAGCGTGCCATTTGCTTCATCCCCACATTTAGCTGTGAGTCTAATCAACTTTGGGGCATTGGAGGAGAGCCTTGAATGGGGCCCATGAGACCAGGAGGTCGAGTGGGGCCTGAGGAGGAAGGCCCAAGGCATTGCCGGGCATGGCTCCATCTTTATTCATTACACTGGTTGTTTGTATCAACCTGAATGAACCCTAGACCACTTCTGGCACAAGCTGGCGGTGCCTCGTTCTAGGCTACCAGCCCCTCCCCTGTGTCACAAAGCAGTGATGCAGGGTCCCCACATAGCCAGGCAGGTGCCGGAATTCGGTGGTGCCTTCACAGGCTAACACGGTTAAATAAAGCACCTGACCTCTGGTTGTCTGGTGCACAGAGAATCGTCAGACGCAGGGGCCACTTGTTAACCCCAGTATTTCCTGACACCGGCCACAGAAGCACTGTCACCAGAACAGCAGTGATTATGTTTTGGTGGGAAGTGTAGCTTTGTCAATGAAATGCCACTAGAAACCACTTCCCATTGAGTCTGTCTTTAGGACGGTGGTCGCTGGACAATCTCCTGAGACAGGGACACCCAGACCCAACGCGATGCTTTCTCTTCTTCCTGCAGGTCCAGCACATACCGTCCCAAGGGCTTTGATGTCACCGTGAAGTACACGCAAGGGAGCTGGACCGGCCTGGTCGGGGAGGACCTGGTCACCATCCCAAAAGGCTTCAACAGTTCTGTCCTCGTCAACATCGCCACCATCTTCGAGTCAGACAATTTCTTTCTGCCTGGGATCAAGTGGAATGGGATCCTCGGACTGGCTTACGCTGCCCTGGCCAAGGTAAGAGGGATCCGGCTTCTCAGTGAATTGAGTGGAGCGAGGAGACTCTGAAACCCCGTCAGTACAGGGGCGATGCATGGTCCAGGCTGTCGGAGGTGGTCACTTAGAAGCACGGGGTTGAAACAGAGCCCTGGTCACACCGTGAATGAAATTTCAAAGCGTTTTTAAATTAAAGGTCCATGGCACGATTCTTTGAACCTTCTTGCAGGATATACGAGTATCATTCCTTTTTTTGCCTTTGTTTTTATCTATTTTACTTGTATAGCTCAAAAATATTGTACTAATAAAATCTGAATCACTTTGATTGTGGTTTTGTCTAGGAGTTTTGATTAGTGTAGGATTAAAACAAAACACTTGTATTCAATCCATGCACTTGCATGAAGATGGAGCCCATGGGAGACACTGGGACCTTGGAGGGAGAGGTGGCCCTGGCAGGCTGAGAGAGCCTCAGTAATGTGCCCAGGAGGAAGTCTGAAACCTTCACAAAACAGGGAAAGGCAGAACTGAACGGTCTCTAATATTTTTACCGGGCCCACCCAAGGGAAGCCATGCCAGTGTGAAGGAGGGAGGCTGGCTTGCCAAAGCCTGGGGAATTTCCACCCAGAAGGGTGGCCAGAGGCAGGCAGGTGAGACACTGGGGGCACCTCCAGGCAGGACACCTGAGCGAAGCAGAAGGAGGCCACCCCTCCTGCCTGTGATCGGGCACCACACCGTGTTGCTCGGGGTCACGCGTTGAGCCAGAGCCGGGTGGGAAACCAAAAACAAGCCGGTTGGAGGAGCAGCAACCTGGTAACAAGAGAGCCTCACTGGTCCGTGCGGAGCCCCAAGGGAAAGCTTGTTTTCTCTCCTCCTTAGAACTTTTGTTTCAGCTCAAGTTCCCTAGCAAATGGTGTGGTCCAGGTAAGGCAGGGAGTGGTGGGGGGCAGCTAGCAGGGGTTCCCCAGTTCTGTGACTTCTCAAGGTGGAGGACATCAGATGTCTGTACGAGGCAGACTCCGTAGGCTGAGTTAACCCCGCTCGTAAACCATGCACACCGAGGGCCAGGGGTCTGCCCCTTACCCAGGGCCACCAGAGCTCCTGGGTCGTGTCCCTCTATGTCTGCGGGGCCTGGGCTGGTCCCGGAGCCCCCTCTTTTCTCAATACCATCGGCTGAGTTTAATGTGACACTCAAAACTGGTAATAACTCAACTCCTTAGTACATTTTCACTGACAATGTGACCTTGGGCAAAATATGTTATCTTCCTATGACTTTGAAAATCAGAGTTGTGAGTATGTCTGTTTTTATGCTGACCATTTGGAAGATGGTAGAGGAAGCATCTGTAATTAATCATATGTAAAGGTCCCCTTGGGAATAAACTACTTGGGACTTTGGAGGGGCCTGTCCAGACTCCCCACACGACCTTTCATCTTTTGTCTGTGGAATTCCAAGATCACCAGCAAGCGGCTCCACATCTGGGCGTTCAGGAGACAGCCACAGGCTGTGTAGGAAGCAGGGCTGGCCACGGGGCGGGCAGGGCTGTCAGGGTCATGGTCCAGAGGCGTTTCTGAAGTAGGCTGAGTGAGCAGGGGGTGGCGGCCATAGTGTGTGGCAGTCCCCAGTCGATCCCAGATGCCGCCCACCAGGCGTGTGTGTCAGGGCCCCCCACAGATCTCCCCCACGGCAGATACCTGGCTCTGACCACACACCTCTGAGTCAGGGTCTCCTGGTCACGGAAGGTGCGCTTTGAAACCCGTGCAGTATCCTGGGCACAGTCCTACCACAGAATGACTTGACAGGGTAGTAGCAGGCCAGGCACCGCGCCGAGCCCTTTGTGTGACACTGACCCATTTAAGCCCCAGAGCGGCTCTGAGAGCCTGATGCGGTCCCCATTTTGCAGATAAGGAAACAAAGGGACAAGTCACAGGGTTGGCAGGTGGCGGAGCCAGGATTCAGTTTGGGGCCAGAGAAGGACAACAGAAGAGCCGCAGAGGGGTCAGCACCCGGCCCCACCCATGCAAGAGACACCGGCGTCTCCCTCAGGGGCCCAAACACAAAGGGCCGAGACAAAGGTTACCCACCGAGACTGTGCCAAATTCCTCCAGATCCACAGGGGCCGAGTGGGAAAGAGTGCAAATGAACTCGTCAAATGGGAAGATTTCTATCTTTTAGATAATGGGGCTCTATCCTTCTTGCTGCCTCCAGAATTATAGCTAACAATTTTACCGTGGTGTAGATAATAAATGCCCATGTCTTCTGTTCACCCCGGGTGTTTGAATGTGCTTCTAGTCTCCACACTACTGCAGTTAAGTTTTCTCCAAGAACTAACAACGCTCGTGGGCATTAACTCTTGTATCTCCCAGTTGTCGAAGCCAACATCCAAACATAAGTCAATGACCTTCCCTTATGACCTCCGGTACCTGTGGTCCACCCCCAACTCAGAGCCGTCTGTAGACCGTCTCTCTTTCTTTTGAGTCCTGGAGAAATGGGGGCGTCCTCCAATGCGTGGCTACATGTAAGGAAGACACAGAGTCCCTTATGGCAATGGGAAATAATGCAGCTTTTCAACTCGGGGAGGCTAGTGTTGTCTCTCCTGCGAGTCCCTGCTCCCCGGAGTTCAGTAGGCAGCTGGCCCAGCTAAACCATGTGACATTGTCTGGGATCTGGGATGGACTGTCCCCTGGGCTGGGCACCATTTACACAACTGTGGCCGAAAAAGGTCAATACAAACTCCCGCTCCGGGAGGCCCTGTTCTCTCCTTACCCCGAGCTGTCTGCGATTAGGACCCGCCACCTGCCTCGGGCGGCCACTTCCACCTCCCCCCACGCCGGCCGCCCGGGGCTGTTGTAATGAATAACGTGACAGCATCCCGATAGCTTCCGGAAGTGCTCTCATTTTCACCGCACAGCCTTCGCAAAAGGAAACCTACCATGTCGTAGGAAGTCCTGCTGGGGTTTCTGAATTATCGTGGAAGGTACTTCATCATAAGCCTCATTGTCTAGCGATGAAAAAACTAAGTATCAGGTGTCTGCGCTGGGTCGTCCCCACGTAGACTGTGAGTCATGAAGCACTGTCCCTTCTTGTCCCCCTACAGCCGTCAAGCTCTCTGGAGACGTTCTTCGATTCCCTCGTCGCTCAAGCAAAGATCCCCAACGTGTTCTCCATGCAGATGTGCGGGGCGGGGTGGCCGGGAACCGGCGCCGGTACCAACGGAGGTAGTCTTGTGGGTATCTCTTAGTCTCAAAGAGGCGACACTCACACATCATTGGGGCTCTTTTTCTCTGTTTAAAGATGCTGATAGAAATATTTTCATCTTTCCTAATCTGCCTGCCATGCCAAAGATGATTCTCGTTGCTTCCCCCAAATTCCACTAAAGCTTTTTAAAAATTCCCTTTGAAAGGTAACTGTCTTTGACAGGTGGGGGAGGGGCAAGAAAGTAATCGTGGGGGGTGTAGCAGGTGGGCCTGTCTCTGGGGAGGGGAAGCAAAGGGTCAACTATGATTTCATAAGTTTGGGGAGATGGGGACACTTGTATAACACACACAGCAAAAGTGTGTGTTAATGAAACAGAAGCATTCAAGGCCATCAGCCTCGAGTGTCCCCTTAATGGACCCAGCACCCAGATGTCTAAAGTAGGAGGTGACAGGAGAATGCACAAGAGGGGCCTCCCTTGCTAGCTGCACCTCTGTTCTCAACACCCCTCTGCCCCCTTTTTGGGGGAGAGGGGAGCTGAGGAGTGGAGGAGCAGGGTTTCATAGTTCTGCAAAATGAAGTGTGGCTTGAGGAGCTCCATTTCGTTCTGTTTCCCATGCAAATGTGTGGGGCAGGAGGTCACCCTCTGTCTTCTGAGGAGCTGAGTGATTGTCAGTCTGCGTGGTTAGCAGTTTTACTGCGTGTCTCTGGGGGCAAAATCTCCACATTGTAAAGCTGGAGACATGTGTGCTTCCTTGAAGTAGCAAAACTGGCAAAGCATCTTGGTTAGACTGGGGCAGAACTCGCTTGACCTTTGGATACGGGGCCCCCAGACGTTCCCTGTTTAATTTGCAAGCACATGTATTTGTTTGGTAGCATCAGACTGAAGTGCAAGTGCGGATTCTGATGAAGGCTCACCTGGCAAGTGCATGCTGCTCTGTGTAACATGTTACATGCCTGTGTCTTTTCCTTCTTATCCCTGTGACTCCTTTTCTCCCCAGGTCCTGGGTGGGATTGAACCGAGTTTGTACAAAGGAGACATCTGGTATACCCCGATTAAGGAGGAGTGGTACTATCAGATAGAAATTCTGAAACTGGAAATCGGAGGCCAGAGCCTTAATCTGGACTGCAGAGAGGTACCCACACTGGCACTCTTTGTGCCTGCCTCTGTGTGCGTGCCCACCTGTCTGCATGTGTCTGCCTGTCTGTGTGTGCCCACCTGTGTGTGCCCAAGTCACCTGCATATTACAGCTGGGGCCTGACCATGAAATCAGAAGGTGCATTCGTCACATTACAAGATACATCAAAGATTCATGACATTAAAAGTTACAGAGCGTTTTGGTATGACAGGTTGAAATCAATGACCCCTTTCTAAAAAAAAAGTTTTCTTACCACCACTTGGCTTAAGGGGAAAATTAGCATCAGACGGTGAATCAGAGGTGCCTAGAGCTACACCTTTTGCATCCGTCTTGGCCTGATGGCCCCTGAACTCTGTCGAAGAGAATACATTATTATCTAAGTTTTCACCAGTGTGAGGGGACTAAAAATAAGCCAAATGAAGCCAAAAAATAAGTCATCAGCTTTATCTTTCATTCAGAGCCACCACCACCCCCACCTCCAAACAGGATCTAATTCTCACTGGAAGAAAAGTCACACTCCCAGGATACGTACGGTGCCGTGCTAAAAGGAGGCAGGTGTGCGGAGCTGTGAGACCAGGCCTCTTGAACCTGTTCCCATCCTCTCCCTGCAGTTCGGCTTCTCTGTGGCACAAGGTGCCATTGTGATCGTGAGGTCCTGAGGGAGTCTCCATTTGCTACAACATTCAGAACGGTTTAGGAAAAGTACTAGCCTTTCATTCTACAGGGTCTGGCAGAAGTAGCACCTGCCTGAGTGTGGTTGGTAGGGTAATAATCTGGGTGTAACAGCTTACCGTTTTAGTTTGAACATTTCACCTAAACTGTCATATGGTGTGCTTGAGTGTGATATTGTTGTGTTACAGAATTGCACGCTTATGGCTTTGGAATAAAACAGTGGTGTTATTTGTGCCAGACCCTGTATTCCTACCTCACACCCCCCGCCTTGTCATCCCTCCCTTTCACACGTACCTTCTCAGTGCACCCCAAAGGCCCACGCACACAGGTGCCTCTGAGAGACCCACAAACACTCGACAAAGGACAGTCCGTTCCACTGCTATAGTGCCAAGTCCACAGATCTGAGTTCATGGTCAAGAGGCAAGTATTTGCCATTAAGAAATCCAGTGGCGGACTCAAAGGGCCTGAAACAAGATACAAACTGTGTGTGTGCATGTGTGCACGTGCGCACGTGTGTATGTGTGTGTGTGTGTGTGTGATTCTCGTACTGACTGCAGCTCTGGTTCTCCTTTCCCACTGGCAGCGTGATAGAGAGTTGACTTTGTGTGATCTGTGACAATGGCATTGAGTGTGTCGTTGGAACCCCTGAAGACAAGTGGGTCTCCCCTCTTTGCCCATGGAACTCCCTCTTTGACAGGGGAGCTTGGGCACCTCTGCATAAGAAACCAGCTCTGCATGAGGAGGGCTGTTGAATTCGGTCACGTCACTTCCCTGCCCTCAGTTTCTTTGTCCGTGAAGTAAGAACGTTGGCCTAAGAGATCCTTGGTTTCAAGATTAGTCGTAGCCCCCGAGGAGGTCCCGGGGCTGCCCGAATGTCCGCACAGCAAGCGGATGCGTGGGGACAGGGGCTGGCGCCACAGCATCCATGTCGCTCACGCGCCTTCCCCCGCCCCTCTTCCAGTACAATGCAGACAAGGCCATCGTGGACAGCGGCACCACGCTGCTGCGCCTGCCCCAGAAGGTGTTCAGTGCGGTGGTGGAAGCCGTGGCCCGCATGTCTCTGGTGAGTTCTCGGGATGCCGAGGAACCTCGGGGAGCCCAGGTCATGACCGCGCGGGGCAATGTCACCGTGCCCTTGGTGCCTCATCTGAGGATTCTGAAGGGTTGTTTGTTTTTTTAACTATTACTTATGAAGTTCACAGTCTTATTCTTTGATGTTAACCAGCAAAAAATTATTTTGTTTTAATCTGGGAGGACTTGGATCAAATAATAGTGTAGTTGGTGCAACACATTTTTTTAATCTAAGAAAATAAACACTTGGTAATATAGCACCTGAAAGGAAATAGTAAACCAGAAATATGTTTGTAGCCTTTAAAACTAAAGAAATAGCCCTGGCTGGTGTAGCTCAGTGGATTGAGTGCAGGCCTGTGAACCAGACCATTGTGGTTCGATTCCCAGTTAGGGCACATGCCTGGGTTGCAGGCCAGTTCCCAGCAGGGGATGTAGGAGAGGCAACCACACATTGATGTTTCTCTCCTTCCCTTCCCTTCTAAAGATAAATAAATAAATCTTTTAAAAAACCCTAAAGAAATAAACTGAAGATCGTACTGCTTTCCGGCCTTCATTCAAGCTGTGTGGGGATTTTAATCCTGTGAAAGGATGCGACTCACAGGAAACAAGGACCAATCGGCCCATATAACAGTTAGTGTATGGTCACACCATACACTAAATACACTAATTGGATTATGGGTCACCCAGTAATCCAATGAAATCACGGGCAAGGACAGTATGCCTTTTGGGGACCTGGCTGATGGTATTCCCACTGTGACCCCAGCTTTCCAGTTCAGAGCAGCAGAGGGGACCAAATGGCACCGATGGGGAAGAGCACAGCTTTGGGGGTCAGATGGAACCGCATGAGTCTGGCACGTGTTAGCAGGGGGCCTGGGGAAGGGTCTCTGCCCTCCAAGGGCCTCTACATCTCAGCAGGGCCGTTCTGAGGGGTGGGGTCAAGTGCCTGGCGCAGCCCGTGCTCCGTAGAGAGAAGCTTCTACCTCGTGTGCAAAGCTCAGTGCTGCGACTGTTTGAATGCACGGTAGACATTTCCCTCAGCTCCTTGGGAGTTTTCTAAGCATCTCTTCACACGAGGCCACCCTTGCAAAGTCACCAAAAAAGGGGAGTTTCCTGTAGTGACTTGGGCTGATGGTTTCACTCTTCCATTGGGATGGCTGAGTTCAAAGAAAAATTGATAAGAGAATGTGGAGCAGTTGAAACCAGGTGACAGTGGGGGGGGGGGACGGGGAAGAGAGAGAGGGCCTGTGGTTGTCCTGGACCAAAATGTCGAAAGTCTCCATCTGCCGTGGGAAGAGCAGCAGGCAACGGGGAAATAAATTGGAACAAGCACAAAGTGCTTGGAACTGAAGGGTCTTCAAGGCAGCAGCCCAGAGCAGCCTAGTATCTGCTGAACCAGAAAAAAAAACCGGCTTTAAAGTTGTGAGAGCCTTCAATTTAGCAGGCCAGCTGCACACCAGACCGCACGGGACATGCGGAGCAAGGTGCTGGCTCTCCTCTACAGTGAAGATGTCCTCAGCGGAGTGAACACGGGCATCTTCCCACGGAATGTTCTGAGCTGCACATGCTTTAACCGCCGTGCCACGGAAAGGCTTGAAGCGCCGGACGTGACTATCACAAGCCTCATGGAGCCCTTCTCAGGCGGTGAGGACACTGGCCCGTGGCTGACAGGCACTGGCATCCCTGAGGCCATCGTACCACGTGTTCGACAGTGAGTGGCTTTGTAAGAACACCACAAGGTGGAAGGAAGGAAATTCCAAAATGCGTGTGCCTGGTCAAAAGGGATCCCGTGGTCTTGGTGTCTGCATCAGGAAGGAGAAAGCTGGAGGCTGTTTGCCTTGGGCAGGGAGAGCTCAACGGGGCTCTCGGTGCCTCTGTCCCTTCTGCACAAAGCAGTGTTTGTTCCTTCCGTCTGCGGCCCCATCGAAGCCACTCTGGCATTGGGCTTTCCTCCTGGTTGAGCACAGGGCTGGCTTCAGAGAAGAAAAACAGTGCAGGTGTTGGGCTCTGGCTCCTGGCACTGGACTGTGGAGGTGGGATTTCAGCGCAGGATGGCTCGCAGGTCTGGACTTGGACATGGGCTCCGCAGGGGTTTTTCTCTTCCTGCCCACAGCGGCGCCCGTGCGGCTCAGGCCCTGTGCTTCCTGCACTGAAATGCAGAAGCAGGATCGCCCCTGATTTACGGCGACTTCTGACATTAACGCTCTGTGACCTGAGGTCACAACTGTCCCCTGCGTGGCTTGGCCCCTGGAGGCTCTCCAGGCCCCTTTGGAGGCCAATGACCCCCATCCAGGTCTGATCTGTGCCCCAGAGTCCCTTGGCCTCACTGAGTGTCATCTTCATCCGTGGCCGGACCTGCTCCAGCGCTGACTCTGGGTCTCCGGCCGCAGGCCAGGCCACCTCTCCAGAAAAACGCCCACTGCCCACCCCTCTTCAACCCATCTGGCGAGAGGCTCGTCCCTAGGATGCACCTTTCAAATCGGCTTCCCTTTTATAAAAGGAGAAACTATATTAACGCCAGCATTAGAAATGTTACAGATCGCTCGCGAGGAGTCCCAAGGGACAGCCTTCAGAGGGTGAAGAGCCCGCAGGCTGTTTTCCCCCTGTGTCTCCCCAGAGGGAGGGAGGGTGCGTAGCACCCGACACCCCAGGTTCAGCCCCTGACAGCAGGCGTCCTCAGTCCTCGCCCCAGCGATCTCCGCGGCATCCTGGCTCACCCGCCTCAGCTTCCTTCACATGTTCCCTGTCCCCCAGCCCTCTTCCCTTCCCTGGACCCCTCTTGGGGGCCAGGGTCTCTTTGGCTGACCCGTGTTTTTGGGTGGGACCTAGGCCCCTCTCCTCTTATTTTCTCCTAAACCATCCCATCCACAGCCACATGGCTGCTTCTCACCCTCCCTTCTGGACCCTGGAATTCAGCTGTCTCGCCCAGGCCCGCCCCTGGAGTTTGGACTCGGAAAACAAGTGACCTAACCACATCCTACTTGGATGCCTCAGCCATACCCGGTGTGCCGCAGAGTTCGGGTCTCTGATGAACGATGTGTGATATGTGCACCACGCGCCCCAGTTCTCTCCCAGCCGGTGCCCGGCTCCTTCCTGTCTTCGGCACCAGCCCCCATGGCCCTCATCTGTGTCATCCAGCGGGGCGGGTCCCCTGCTGTGCCCTCCCTCCCCCGCCATTCCTCACTAACACCCACCTGCCCCTCAACTCAGCTCAGGTGTCTCTACCCCAGGGACACTCCCTGGACAAACACCTCCCTTCCTCCCTGTTGATATCTCCCAGCTCCGCCCCCACCTGACTGCTCCAGCAGTCAAGGTCGCCCAGCAGGGCTCTGTGCTGGAAGGGGCGCCTCCAGCACGGCCCTCCCTCTTGGAGCTGGCAGGCACGGGGCCAGCCCGCCTGGCGCCTGCACGGGTCCTGGCGAGATGGCGTGGCTGGAATGTGTAATTAACCCACAGATTCAACAAGTGGTGGGCGTGCGTGGGTGCCATCGCCCTTCCAGTCCCCTGGTGAGAGGCACAGATGGACATCCTCTGTTCCCACACATTCATATTTCCCGCAAATCTTTCCTGAGTCTCTCGGACAGGCTGGGTGTTAGGACCCCAAGGGGATGGGGACAGCAGGCCTCCGTCCTTAGAGGACTCAAATCCTAGAGTAGAAAACAGGAGTTAGCCAATGACAACAAATGTCAAACTAACTGCTACAGGAAGGGGACACCCAGTGGAATCGAGTATTATGTGGGGGAGTCAGGGAGGGCTTCCTGGATGAGGCATCTGCTGAGCTTCGATCTATCTGGAGGAGGAGAAAGAAGTTCCAGAAGAGTGGAGGGCCCACAGAGGGCTCTGCACCAGGAGGAAGCTCACTGGGCACAGGGAATTCAAAGGAGAGGTGATGCTGGAAAGGTCCTCGAGGGCCACATTGAGGATCTGGTCTCTCTTTTAAGGGGTCATTGCCAACTACTGTGTTATCTTAGGCAAGTCACTGCACCTCTCTGTGCTTTGGTCTCCTCATCTGTAAAGTAGAAGGGACAGTGTTACCACACTGATGGCAGTGTATGAGGATTAAAGTCATTGCTGCAAAGTGCTTATAATGGTGCCTAATGCTAGCAAGCGCTCCACAGGCCTCAGGAATTTTAATCATTGCTACTTTGCCATCGCTGCTCCTAGAGGACTGATGTCTCCATCGCTCGGTCCAAATTAGACATTGTTTATCCCTGTGGGCATCTGGCGGGGCGACAGGGAGAGCCGGGAGCTATTTCCTGTTGACGTGCTGGACGCGCCGTTTCTCTCGTGATCCTGTTTTGTCTAGATTCCAAAGTTCTCTGACGGTTTCTGGACCGGATCCCAACTGGCATGCTGGACGAATTCCGACACACCTTGGTCTTACTTCCCTAAAATCTCCATCTACCTGAGAGCCGAGAACTCCAGCAGATCCTTCCGCATCACTATCCTGCCTCAGGTAGGAGCGTGGGCTGGTGCCTCTCTCTCTAACGCGTAACCCACAGAAGGAAAGCGATTCGTGCGTAATGGGGGCATCTCGATATCACGTTTGCGTTCACATCCGCGAGGAGGTGTATACGGTGGCGCTGCAGGACAAACAACCGCGAGACCAGCCGCTTTCATCAGTGAGCATTCATTCCTGCTCCTGACCCTGACCTTGGGCAGGTCTGCTGATCTCTCGGGCTTGGTTGCCTGTGGTTGGCTGGGTCTGGGCTGGCCTCAGTCCAGGGTGGTCCGACCCTCGCATACCTGGCGGCTAAGTTAATGGAATGATGAGGCTGTTGTCTCACCATCCAGCGGCTGACTCCTGCGGTGGTGACCGGGCTCTGAGGGGGAAGAAACTCGTGGGCTCCTGAATGTAGGCCCAGGACTAGCCACCACCTCCCGCACAGGGCTGCCCACGTGAGGCCAAGGCCAGCCCAGATTCGCGGGTGGGGAAGTAGAAGCCACCTCCGCCGTGGGAGGAGCTGCGGTCTCCTATCACAGGGTGAGGCCACAGGGTGAGGTCAAGAATTGAGGGTGTTTTTTGCAATATCTACCCCAACACCAATGTACAGGTCTCTCCTCTTTTCCTATGAGTAAAGAAAAAACGTGGATTCTCGGAGATGAAGGCACCATTTTCTTTTTCAGCATTCACTAAATCATTGACTCCCTCTTCATCCCAAGTATCTGATTAAGTAGACCCAGCTCTGTCCCTTCGAGGTGTTCTCACCTCATCCTTCCTTCTTCCTCTCCTTCCTGCGGGTCTCGTCACTCCTGTCACTCGTCACTCGTGACACTCACATCCCCCCTTCCCCACTTCAGAAACCTCCAGAGTGCCCTCCAGGCACCCCACATCCACACTCTGTTTTTATGATGAAACTAAACTTCCTAAACCACAGCTTTCCACCCCACCATTCAAATGCTGACGGTCGCTTTCCCTGACGTGGCTTTTGATGACCTCCACGCTGGACCCTCCCTTGCTCTCCAGTTGCTGCCCTTGCCCGCCACACCCTTGGTCCTGCACTCATCGGTCTGCTTCTGCCACCCCCCTCCACCACCCCACCCCACCACCCCTGGCCTGAAATGCCCTCTGGTCCCACTCCATCTGTGTATCTGATTCTTCCCATCCCCCCGAGACGTGACTCACACAACCCGTCTTCTGTTGAATCTCTGCCGAGCAGAATGACCCGTTTGTGAGCCTGCCCTTCAAACTCATGATGCGCGTTTTCTAAGCGGCTTGTCTGGCCTGGGGTCATATCTTTGAGTGTATTTTCTTCTCGTCTTTTTCCTTTGAATTCTGTTTTTTGGAAAAACACGCACACTTGTATTTCTTTCTCAATTAAGTCATTTCCTTGAAGATGAGAACCACAAGTTTTAAAGGCCATTCCTAACTGCCCCAAAGTAGAGTGTAGGCGATAACGATTGATTAAGTGGGTGAGTCAGGGCATCTCTGTTGTAATCCAGTCGGTTTGGGATAAAGGAGTGGGAGTGGGTGGTAGGAGAGGAGGACTGATTTCAGAAGAGACAAGGAAATGATAAGACCGCCTTTTTCCCTTTCCAACTTTATGTCGGGGGTGGGGGCGTTCCTGTTGGGGAACAGATGGAAGTACTGCTCAGCAGAGGGCACCTACACAGAGAGCAAGAGGCTGGACGTAGGGTCTCGGCCCTGCACGTGACTCGCACTGTAACTCTGACCAAGTCACTCAGCTCTCTCTGCGTCTGGCTCTAATGATAAAGGAGAAATGATAGTACAGTCCTCGCCGATGACATTTTCAGAAGGCGGTCGTATCCTGGGAGAATGGCACTGCCCAGAGTGAGTTAGAATGATATGTTTTCCGCGTAATGTGCTCTTTGTGATGGCATTTTGGTCTGCCGACCAGCCACACGGGCGCATTATTTCATCAGCGTGGTTTGGAGTAAAGTTGAAACCTGGCTGGAGGACAAAGGTGGACGTGTCCTGGCAGATAAATGGCATGTGGGCGGTGGGCAGAGTCAGGGACTCCTAAGAAGCAGGAGAAGAAAGCAGGTGTTCGGGGGAAAATCTCTTACACCCAACAGCCATCAAAACCGAAGGTTCACTGGGGACTGTCGCTGCCTCCAGGACCCAGCTCTGGGTGAGTGTGGAACACAGGAGGTGGCTTTAGAAGGATTGCAGCCATTTGCATATCTCCGCATAAGAATCCAGTCTTATTCGGACTTATGAGACTGGATTCTTTTTTGTTTGACTTTGACGTGTTCACATTTTAGATTTTTGAAGTTCAGCGTTCCCCACTGTTTTTTATTTATTAATTCTTAATGCGACATCACCACGTTTGCTTTCCATTGCCTAGTTGGGAAGGACAGATGGGCGGTTGTGCCCAATCACCTGATGAGAACCTCACAGGCACCCTCTGCTGGTGACACACAGCTCAGGGACAGCTCTGGTTTCACCTAAAACCTCAGCTCTGCAAACCTGACCCCTTCCCTAACACTTAGGGCAATCACAGGGCTCCTCATTACCAAATTACTAGACCAGGGCCCTACCCGGGACCTTTTAGGCACCTGCAGTCACAGCTGGGCAAATGACTGCTGGGGCAGACAGGAGTTGAATCAAAGGCAATGACCTTAAACTTGGTCTGTCACTGGCACCATTTTCCAAACCTGCTGCTAGACGTCCAGCAGGTTTGGAAAATGGTGCCAGTGACAGACCAGCTCATTCAGCACGAGCTGAATCCTCTTTAGCTTGTTAAAAAGCCAGTCCCCGGCTCACAGACAAATTCTGACTTTTTCTTTCCATGTAACCCTATACATGTAAATAGTTTCCATCTAAGATGCCACTGGTTCGTCTCTTTGTGCTCATTTTGGTTTAAGGCAGACAGTTTATTCTGAGATCCAGAAACACTGATGCCTTTCCTAATGTGTTACAAATTTACAGTCAGGGGTTTTTATTGGAAGTCGACCAGGACACACAGAAAGGACAGAGGGACAGACAGGAATTCTGTCTGCATCAGTAGCCCCAGCTGCATCATACTTGGTAATTGCTTGGGTTTCATTATGGAATTAGTTCATTCAAAGATGAGGGGTGTGTTTGTGTGGCAGCTAAGCATATCCCCCCTTTAATTTAAGTTGATCTTCATGAGAAGTTGTATATCTCATTTAAAACCAACCAAAGCTTAGCTCATGCATTCATTTTATGCACATTTATTGAGGTCTTCCTATCTGCCTGGCATATATGTGAGGTGCCCGGGCACCAAGCATATAAGTGAGGAACAGAAAGAATGATTCTTTGCCTTGAAGAAGGGTTTACGGACAGGCGAACCGATCAGTGCAGGGTTCTAACTGCTGGGGCACTTCCCTGAACATAGTGGCTGCTGGACATCTAGCAGCGGGTGACTCCAGTACAGCCACCCCTGTGTCCTTGCTCCTTCTCTGCCTTGAGACTCCTCTCCCTCTGATCTTCTCTGAATGCCAAGTGCAGGGGCACTAGCCTTCCTCAGGCGTCCGTTTGATCACATGCGTTTTCTCCAGCACAACGTCCGGTTTCCATCCGTGTTCTGACGTTAAACACTGTTCCTGTGCTTACCAACCCTAACAACCCGCGCTCTGCCCAGTGAGCTTCCTCCTGGGCCTCCTGTCCTTCCCCCATCAAACTGCAGACCTGGCACCTCCCCACCTGCCCCCTCCCTCCCGCCCCCCACAAACACACAAATGCACCACTACTTGTCTCCAAAATCCCGGCTTCTCACATTCCCACCAGCCACAGGGTTCAAGGCCGCCTGTCGTTGAGTCTCCAAGTTTTTCTTATTGCTTTTGTCCTTTAGGGCAAAGTCTTTCTCACTCATTTGGTGCTTCATTGTTTTTTTCCCAAACATTTGTCATTATGCCCCCCTAAGCCACTCTGTTCTCTTCACTGTCTACCTGTTGAAACTTTGCCACTAGAAACCAGAGGGATTGTTGTTACTGATATGAGGTCGATTTGCTCCTGAGTGTTCTAAGTTTTGACTCGAGTCCCCAGAGACTGCTGCCTCCAGGGGATCTCAAAGGTCACATCCAGTGTCCATTTAATGTGCCCGGCCATGCAGGGTGCGGTCCTCGCACCATGAGAGCTTCTGGCCCGGTGATTCCATGTCCTCTCCTGACTGCGATGGCTTGTCCCTCTCATGCTGAGGAAGTCCTCTCACCAGTGTCATGCTGCCCCTCAGATAGAGGGTGACACCGTCACTTTGGAAAGATGGCATCCTGGGTCCGGATGCGGACCTTTGTAGTGGACCGTGAGAGAAGAGGGCGGTGCTGACCTGGGCTGGGGTGGTGGGACGGAGATGGGAGATGTGCTCAGACTCCGGCTCTGTCTCAGCGGAAGGCTCTGCTCTGGGTTCCATGGAAGGGAGGAGACACTGACCCCGTGCTCTGAGGCCCGAGGCGTGGCCATGTTGTGGACTTACTGAGACAGAACCTGCCTCCCTCATAGATGGGGAACTCTACCAGGCAGGAACTGTGTGTTATTCATCCTTGTGTTACTGGTACAAAGGACAGTCAGTACCTTGGCCATGTTAACTGCTCCATAAATAACTGGTGGGTGAGTGGTTGAATGGCTGGACAGATGGACGGGTGGATGGGTGGATAGATGGATGGATGACTTAGTTGGATAGCTGGATGAAGTCTTTGTACGGTTGTACTGTGTATAGTCACAGGTGGCATGCGTATTTCTGTCACTTTCAGTAATGTTTGTCACCATGCTTATGATCTCAACTCTTCAATAGCTGGGCTGGTGTCTTCTTCCTCCTCTGTAGCGCCCCATAGCACCTTGGAGGGTCCCGGACACACTGTGACCATGACAATTGTGATGTTGCCTGACTTGCGCTTTTTCTTCTTTCCTCTTTCTTCTTACATGAACAGCTTTACATCCAGCCCATGATGGGGGCTGGCCTGAATTACGAATGCTACCGATTCGGCATTTCGCCTTCCTCGAACGCGCTGGTGATCGGTGCTACCGTGATGGAGGGCTTCTACGTGGTCTTCGACCGAGCTCGGAAGAGGGTGGGCTTTGCGGCCAGCCCCTGCGCGGGTAAGTGATGCTTGCCTCAGGCAGTGAGGTGCAACTGGGGGACTTGTCTGTTCACTCACTTGGAAGCACTTCTTGATCAGTCAGTTGCTGTTGAATTAATTCATTCCTGCCCGTTATCTGTGATTGAAGTCTTATTGATAAAATGCGCCATGCCGGGCTGAGCGGAAAAAGTGAGATTACCCATGTACAACTGTGGCACAGGACTCGGGAGGGTGCGTGGCAAACGCTCGGTAGGTGTTGGCACCACCGTTCCTTCTCATGTTAAACTTGCGATGGCGCCTCATCCCAGGAACAAAAATACTCCAAGAGCCCAGGGAATGAAGGCTAGTGTTTGGCATGGAAGGGTGAAAAAGAAAATTCATAGATAATTTGCATATATCTTTCCCCTCAAAGAAATCTATGAAATAAGAAGCAAACACCTGTCTTTGCTAGTTCTTGAAATGAGACCGAGGAGCCCGTTTTCCGATAGAATTCCTTGGACGCCGTGGCACAAGGGTGGCAGAGCGTAGTCACTGTGCGAAGCCTGGCTTGAGTCTTGGCCAGGTCTTCGGAGAAACCAAAGAGCACAGTAAGGTGGTCAGGATGGGCCACCTCCCTGAACCTGAAAATGTCATCAGGCCTGACAGCTGGGAAGGGAGCGTCCCCACTGCCCACAGTTCGGTGGGAGGATTAGGTACTTCTGACTAACGGTCGAGCTACCAAGGAAAATGCAAGTCGAATGGAACGAGGGAGACATGGGGAGAAATTTTGTGCACCGGGAGGTTTACCTCCCGTCCCCAGAGGGTGTCAGAGGACCGAAAATGTCTGGTGCACAGGTCAAGGTCAGGAACCGAAGGAAATCTGAAGTTGTGCCCCTAACATGCCGAGGGCTAGAACAACTAAGCAATCGTGAGATGGGAAAAGAGCTGATGCCCAGAAAACAGAGAGGAAAAAAATAGGGTTTATAGTGAAAAAGGAGATCACCACATCCTGAAGGAAAGAGAAACTTGGTGAAAGAAAGCCTTAAACCTGAGATATACCATATTTTGCCATGTATAATGTGCACTTTTGCCAACATTTTTAAGGGAAAAATAAGGATACACGCTATAACATGGATCATACCTGAAATACCTTGTATCTGTTTGTGTTTTCTAATTGTTTGTTACATAAAATTTCTTGTACCATAATATGTTCAAAAATACATGCTAAAATAAAATTCCTTTATGACACACAAAAAAACAAGTAGCTAAATATAAGTACATAAATTATTGAATTAAAACATTAAAGCAAAAGATTGTATTCCTGAAAGTTTGGGCCAGAAACATGGGTGCACATTATATACAGCAAAATACGGTAGTTGTAGGCCGGGCAGGAATAATGCTCACCTACGGACCAGACCTTCACTCTGAAAGGACACCCACCAGAGCTTAGGGGAGGGGTCGTGTGCAGGGCAAACGCCAATCAAGGAGAGATTTCAGCCCTTACTCCCCACATCCAGGCCTTAAAGTGGGAGTCCGGGAAACAATAGGTAAGTGACGCTCCGTTTTCTGGTTTGAGCACACTCATTCCTGCAGAGTTGAGTGGTTTGGAGAATGGAAGAGAAATATGGGAAGGGAAAATCACACCTGGAATCTTAGGCTGGTTCCTATTCTATGTAAATAAAATCGCCCAATCCACTTACGTATTTGCAACGTTGTGAAATGTCAGTGCAGAGTTTTTGTATTTGTGACCAGGCTCGGGGGCCTTGGGACTTGTCATTTTTTAATCTCAGCTATGAGTAAATGGAACCTTTCAGGCAGGCATCACCCCTTTCAGCCCGTGTGCATTTCGTGGAGGGGGACACCTCTCTGCGTGTTAGCCGGGGCTGTATAACCAGAAACGCCATACCTCCCGGCTGTGGACACCTTACTTCTTTTAATCCAGAGAATCTAAGAACCAAAGCAATTGTCCCCACAACTCCTGTTCTCTCGTTAAATACCAGGGAAGGAGAGATTACTATGGCAACAGCGGACACATGTCCACTTCAGTTAATCCAGCAGAGACGCCAGCCCCGTCTGTTGCTACGGGAAGTGCTGTCAGAAACAGTTTAATACTAAGTGTGTCTAGGCAGAGATGTTTTCCTGAATTTCACCGTGAATTCTTGGTCAGGGTCTCTCATTTAAGTTTGTTGTGGCTATTTTTTAAATGTATTTAAGGTTTGGGAGCTTAGCCACTGGATTTTAGCAGCGGTGGGAGCACACACTGAAATGTCTCCACTTCGGTGCTGGTGGGGCAGCCATTAAAGTAATTACTTCCCTCGGGGCCACGGTCTGGAGCCAGGCAGGGGTCTGCGGCTCCTAATAAATGGAAGAGATATCCTGCCCCTTTTTTTCTGTCTCAAAGTGTCTATTTCTAATTTCTAACATGTTTTAAATAACAAAGAAAATGCTTCAAATCACCCAAAATTGTGTGCTATGCACACACTTACAGAACACCCAGATTTAAGAAATGCTAATGTTCTGTTATATGTTCTTCAAATGTTTGTCGTAGAAATAAAAGAGCAAGGACAGCTACGGCCCCACCGCACCGCGCTCCCTGGGGTTGCTCTCCCCCCCCCGAGGTGGTGTATGTCCTCCCACAGTAGCTGCACATTTACAATTTCACTGCATCCTTACCAGCACCCTGGGTTATTTTCTATTGCAGTGGACTCACTTGTCCCCGGTTTAGCTCTTTATGAGCCTGTTTGGGGAATCGAGGGGGGCTTAGCCAGGGGCTTTTGGTCCAGGGTCTCCCCTGAGCCTGCAGCATCTGAAGGCTGGAGGGTCCCCTCCCAAGCTCAGTCATGTGGCCCTTGTGACTAGCCTGTCTGAATGCCCCCGAGATGGGTCCATGGCCACCCCAGAATAGGTGATCCTGGGGGGGGATGGCAATAAAGCATCTAAGACAGAAGCCAGTCAATTTGTAAACTAATCTTGGAAGTGACATGGTGTCCCTTCTGCCCTATTCAATTAGTAGATGGGGGAGGGGAGTACACAAGAGTGAATGCCAGGAGGTGGGCCGTTGAGGGGCATCCTAAAATCTAACCATCATGCACCTGTAAGCAAGTGTTTATGACAACACACAGGTTGGTCATTTGGATTTCTTGGTATTTCTTAATTTATAGAAATGCTGTCATGTGGCACGTGTCCTTTGTCAACTCGCTTTTATTCTCCAACATTACTTTTTCTAGATTTCCCACGATGCCGCGGGAGCTAGGGCGTCCTTTTTGACCGCGGGTAGTGTTCCGTTGTGCGAGTGAACCCCGAGGCCCACGCAGTCCCGCCTGGACCCAGGCGCGGGCTGTCTCGAACGTGCGCAGTCGGAAGCAGTCCTGTGGTGAGCCGCTTGTGCACGGGGATGAGCTCGTCAGGGATGGAATTTCTTGATGGCTTGGTGCTCTGGTCAGCGCTGCTGGTCACTGTCACACTGGTCTTCAAAGCAGGCGGACCACCAGAATTACATCAGAACTTCCATTCTATCGGAGGATTATTGTAGTTGTTTTGGCTTTTTGCCAAGCCATGTGTGTGAAATAGTATTATTTTAATTGATTACTTTTGAGATGACTTACCTTTTGATGTGTTTATGGGGTGTTGGAGCTTCTCTGAGTGGATTTTTCTATTAACCACTTTTGCGTGTTTTTTTATTTATCCTTTTTACTGATATATGTGAGTTATTAAATATTTGAGATGAATTTCGGTGGGTTATGTGCATGATAAATCTCTTTTAATCTCTCGGGCCTTTTTCACTTGGTTTCGGGTGTGTTTTATTTACACTTTTTGTTAAATTTAGTGAAATAAAATTTACTAATCCTTCTTATGGCTTTTACTCTGCTCTTACTTAGGAAATGCTTCCTTAATCTAAGAAAATAGAGGTTTTTTTTAAAAGATACTATCTAGTTTCTAATTTTTTTTCTAAGATGTGAAGTAGGAACTTAATTCTTATAAGGATATTCCATTTCTCAGCATTATTTACTGAATATGTAGTTTCCCCTTTGACTCTTCTCAATACTTTATTATAATGAATCTTAATATACGTATTGGCCACTCTCTCTTCAGCTGTCTTCAATCTTTTTAATCTATTCAGCGAATCTTTAGTTACATTGACTGCATTTTTCATTTCAAGAAATACTATCTTACATGGTTTCGAACAGACTAGCTCACTTTTTTTGCAGTGCCTTAGAGTTTGTTGTGGTCTGTATTTTCTTTATATCCATGATCACTTTGAAAAGTTGGCTCGGTAGTACTTAAATTCTACAGTGAATTACATAGTGCCCCAGGCCAAGACAATCACATGAGCACATAAAGCTCTCCCTCGTTATTATTTTTTCAGCTTTACCATCTTCTATTCTATGGATGGTCCCTAATTTATTTTGCCAATCATTATTGGTAGACATTTAGGCCTTTTCCAATTCTTCAGTGGATACATTTATATATGTTTGCTCCCTCATACGGAAATATACCCCTAGGGGAGATTATTGGAAGTAGAGTTGCTGGGTTAAAGGGCATAAGCATTTGTCTTCGTGATGAATATGGTCACATGACCTCTGTAGAGGTCACTCTGGCTTATCTCTGGCTAACCCAGCTCACTGGCCGTGCCTAGGACAAGCCTGTGTCTCCAGGAAGCCTCGCCACACTGTGGGCAATTTTCCAATCTGATAGTTGAAGAACATTGTCACAGAGTCATTTTAATTTGTTTTCCTTATATGGTGAGGTTGATTTGATTTTCATATTTCTAAGGGCATTTGTTTTTCCTTTTCTGTGAGCCAACCACTCATACCTTTCTCTCATTTATTTTTTTTGTTGGGTTTTTTAGTTTTTTGCATTTTTCTGTAGGAGCTCTTTATGTGAGTAAGAAATTAACCATTTGGAGAAATATCTCAATGTAAATTATTTTTGAGCATAATGAACTTTAATATAGAATGTTTAATGCACTTAAACATATTAATATTTTGCTTTAAGGTCACATGTTAAATTGCCTTCCTCACTAAAATTTTTTTGTGATTT